TGGCTCCCCAACCTTAGCAGGTCAATGGGGGAATGTGGCGGGGCGTGGTCTGTGGTGCCGCTGTAGGGGACATGGACGCACCGGCGCGGCATCAGCAATCACGCCGGCATAAAAGGTTGTACTGACTGTCATTGTCATTGTTGTTGGTGATGTGTGCGGCTGGCAGCGGGAGAGCTGCAGTCATTGGGGTGACTGTGGTTCAGGGGGTTGGGAAGCTCATTTGTAACCGGAAGGTTGCCGGTTCGATCCCCCAGCTCTATCTGTCCTGGTCGTTGTGTCACTGGTCAAGACACTTTACCCTACCCTACCCTACTGGTGTTGGCCAGAGGGGCTGATGGCGTGATATGGCAGACTCGCTTCTGTCAGTCTGCCCCAGGGCAGCTGTGGCTACAACTGTGGTTTGCCTCCACCAGTGTGTGAATGTGAGAGTGAATGAATAATGTACTTGTAAAGCGCTTTGGGTGCCTAGAAAAGCGCTATATAAATGCAATCCATTATTGAGTTTGCAAATCGAACCATGTGATAAGTGTAGATAAAGATGGTGAAACCCATCAACGTGTGGTCGGGTCTGTCGTGCGTATTTCACACTGATATATACACAGTGTTGCGGAGTAACAGAATACATGCACCGGCATTATGTATTTAAAATAAAAAGTATGAGTAACCGTATTCCGTCATAGTCACCCTTTAAAAAGTTGATATTGGCGGTCTTTTCCTGTTTCATAACTCGCATTAAGAGGCTCTGCCTGTGTCTCAATCTCGTGGCCCATGTCACCTCTACTTGCGGCCTGCATCATGATGTGAAGAAATATTTTTAAAAATTATTATTCAAAAAAATGTTTTATATCAAGGCAACAGGCAGAGTGTTACAGGAATAAATAGCCCTAAAGAATGAAGCCTCATGGGCAGTGTATTCCGTGCTGCAGGAAGAATGGACTGCCATACCTGTTATGTGTCTGTGAGTGCGAGGGAGGGAGAAAAAGGAGAGTCAAAAAGTAAGAGTTGTCACCGACCAGATGGAAGTGTGTAAATATAATAATAACCACTGCAGCCAAAAAAAGAGTGCCTGACGAGCCCATGGTTTTGAAGGGACTGCCAAAATCATTCAAACCATCTGCTATCCATGTCACACAAAGTACGTTTTGCTGAATTCAAAACTACTGCAAAGCTATGAAGACACAGAGCAAATGCGTGCTGCATTGGATGACAACGTCACGGCATATTGTTACAGATATAACAAAGTTCAGATGATTCAACGATAGTTTCCAGGCCGAGACACACTACGTAGTGCTGGCTGACGGCACTAAGTGCACCGGAGTTGCAGAACAGAGAGGGAAGGCAGAGTTTTGCTTGACGGATAGCAGGGGGCAGTGCCACAAAACAACCTTGAAACAGGAATTGTACATCACCTCATACCCACAAGACTCTGTGAAAGCAGGTACCTCCACCTTAAAGCAAGGAAAAGACATGCGACACAAAGATGGCCAAAAGTTCCCAATATATGAATACAACAGACTGTACTACCTATAAACAGTAAACACTGAAGGTAAAGACCAGTGTAAGGGTTGCTATGACATGCAAACATGGCATGAAGTACTGGGGCACTGTAATTTTGATGACATTCAGAAAATACTGGGTTTTGTTGATGGTATGGCAATCAAAGGGAAAACAGATAAATCTGTCTTGCTAACTATAGGCTGGTGAAGTTTGAGGCCAAAACAAGAGTAGAGAGACAAACACAAACTGACATGATGCCAGATGATGTCAGCGATTTTGACATACAAAACAGGTCCAGCAAAACGAGAGAAAATACTGATGTGAGTACAGAGCACACAGACAACCAGTTACAGATCCCAGCAACCATGTCTGACATGAGCAGCCAGTCACAGGAGAGTGAAATTAACTGGGAGGCTGAAAGAAACCCTTCCAGAGTGAGAAAAAAGCCTAGATATTTAAGTGAATATGTTACTGACAAAGAGGACTGTGATCAAGTACCCACAAACATGGGTCATTGTTACAATGTGTAACATACCCCAAACTTTGAAGGAAGCAATGACCTCATCTAACTCAGAGAAATGGGTCAGTGCAATGAATGAGGCGATGCAATTACTAAGAGAAAACGACACATTTACCTTGACCACTTTGCCTGAGGAGTAAGAAGACAGTGGAGGGTAGATGGATGTTGATGGATCTGAGAAGTACAAGGCATGTTATGTTGCTAAAGGATACAGTCAGAAGATGGGTGTGAATTATGAAGAAACATTTTCCCCTACTGCTAACCTGACTAGTATCACAGCGTTGATGCAAAAGGCAGCACAAGAAAACATGCTTTTACATCAGATGGATGTTATAGCTGCCTATCTACACTGTGATATTATTCTGTTATTATATGTTATCTTATATATGTAGTTAAAGTAGTTGAATTATGTTAACTGCTGTAGGTCATATTATACCCTTTAATATAGAGTGTGTGATCTGTATGTAGTTTAGTTCTCATTATACTTTTAAGTTAAAAGAACATATTCACTTATTAGTTTATTAGATAAGTGTGCATCACTCTGTATCCTTGATCTGCTGTGAATGTATTACACTGTTTTCTTGAAATGCTTTATTGTTGAATCATAAAAAGAAGGTTGTAAGCAGGAGACTCTGTGTCTAGGCCAGAAGAGATAAGTCACATTCCAGACCCCCACCTTTACAGAGAGCAGAGAAAGACAGGGAGCCGAGGTCATAAATTAGGCGCTGTAACAGAGAAAGAATGTGATGTTTGGTCTTTTACGACTAGGTGGGGGCCGCTAGAGGGTATAAGAAGCTGTGTAAACCGTCACCATTTTGAGACTTGCTGTGACCCTCTTCAGGCAGGTCTCCCCATCATGATGGTTCTAATGCTCATATGTGTTGAATTGTATGGAAATAAATGATTGTTGATTGAGCATAAATACACCGAGTATTGTCCTTCCTTCAGCCCAAAGATTCAAAGAATTGGGAGATTTCAACAACACGCACTAATAGATTTTGAGGTGTTCATGGAACAACCTGAGGGTTATGAGGTGAAATCTGACACAAATGAAAACTGCGTGTATAAGTTAAAAAAGTCTGTATACTGGCTAACACAATAAGGTGGAAATTGGAACAAGGTGTTGCATGAATATCTGAGTGAAAACAACTTTGTGCAAAATCCCGCTGACCATTGTGTTTACACAAAGATGGCAGGAAATTATTTTGATAATATGGGTAGATGACCTGATCATTGCTGCTAGTGACGAAAGTGAACTAACTGTTGTGAAGGAAATGCTTGCAGCAAAATTCAAAATGAAGGATTTGGGTAAACTGAGAAATTTCATTGGAATAGATTTTGACCGGAGTGATAACTGTGTAAAAATGTCACAAAAACAATATATGGAAAAAATACTTGAAAGGTTCAACATTCAGGATTGCAAAGAGAGACTGAGACCTTGTGAGCAAAAACTGAACTACGCTGATGGTGCAGAAGAGATGAATGATGTCAAAAGGTACAGAGAAGCAGTTGGTAGTCTGATAGTATAAGTCTGGCTTTAAGTGGTCCTTTGATTTCATGGTAAACCAAAAGGCAACCTATTGTTGCATTATCTAACCGTGAAGCTGAGTACATGGCTTTAGCTGCAACCCTACAGGAGTGTTTGTACCTAATCCAACTGTTACAAGGTATCGATAGACAGAAATATGCACCGCCAAAGGTTTATGAAGATAACCAGGGTACAATTGTGTTGGATAAGAATCCTGTAACGAGACAGAGATGTAAACACGTTGAAATAAAGTACCACTTTGTAAGGTGAACTGTGAGTGAAGGAAAAGTAACTCAACGATTATTGTTCAACAGAAGAGATGGTGGCAGATGTAATGACAAAACCTGCAACAGAAGTTTAGTTGTTCAAGTTTGAAAAGTTTATGTTTGGACATTAAATAGGCATACAGACATGTATACAGTTCCGGGTGAGAAATCCGATTTGTGTTTTGTTACTTAAGAAAGTCATAACATGAGAGCAAGTGGGGGTGTTGACATGAAGAAAGAAAATTAGTGTTCTATGGTCAGACAAGTCTTAATTTGACATTCTTGTTGGTAATCACGGATGGCACATCCTCCGGGCAAAAGAGGCGGCAGACCTTCCAGCATGTCATCAGCATTCAGTTCAAAAACCAGTATCTATGAAGGTATCGGGGTGCATAAGTGCATACGGTATCTGTAGTTTTCACGTTTTGGAAGGAACTATAAATGCTGAAGTATATGAAGGTTTTAGAGCAACATATTGTCCCCTCCAGACAACGTCTACTTCAGGGAAGGCCATGTGTATTTCAGCAGGACAATGCAACACAACATATTCCAGCTATTATAACACCATGGCTTCATTGGAGAAGAGCTTGGTGCTGACTTGGTCTGCCTGCACTCCAGATATTTCACCTATCGAGAATATTTGGCATATCATTAAAATGAAAAACCACAACCACAAACTCTCCTATATCAGGCAAGAATGGGACCGTATTTCAACACCAGAACTCTAAAAACTCAAAACCTGAATGCCCAGATTTCTTCAAACTGTTTTGACATGCATCACAAACTATAAACACTGGCAGACTTATTCTCAACATCTACTTACACCAAAGTGAAAATGGAATTTCTGATCTGAAAACTTATTTGTATCTTTCTGATACAAATAAATTAGGATTAAACTCAATGTGGTGCAGTGTGGTTTTATGAAGGAATGCTTCTCTCCCCGCCTAAACTATATTCCCAAAAGTATTCACTCGTATCCCTTCAAACACATATGAACTTGAGTTAGCTCTCATTCTTAATCCATATGGTTTTATGAGTTTACCTATGAAGGTATAACAGCTTTAACTTTTCAGGGAAGACTTTGCACAAGGTTTAGGAAGTGTGTTTATGGGAATATTTGAGAAGCACATTTGTGAGGTCAGACACTGATATTGTTTACTGATTGAATTGTTTAATAAAATCCTCTTACTGCTTTGCAGACGGTCTGCCAGCTCCTCCTGCTTCATTCTCCTCAGGAAGTTCAATGTGATCTTCACAAATGCCTCTGTGCTGCTCCTCATCTGCTCGTCATCCTCACCCTCCAACTCGCCTTCATCCTCTCTTTGGCTCTCTGAGCATACTGCATAATCTGAACTCAGGACTTCCTGGATCTTCTTCAGCTGATTATTCATGAAAGTCTTGATGTTATCCTTCAGCAGCTGTAAGAAAATACTATACAAATTACTCAGTGTGAAATTATAGAGTCAAATATCAGAAGCATGTTGAACACTGACAACCCATTGATCTACAATGTGCAGCATTGAGATTTAACAGAATAGATGTATGCAGTAAGTAGTTGTTGTACATTTACAGACCGTAAATACGGGGTCCAGGTGGGTTTCATGCTGCTGGACAGACTGACCACTGGAAAGTTCTGAGATCTCCTGGTCCACTCTGAAGAAATCATGAAGAATTAGGTCATGAGTCTGTCCACACCATTATAAACAACATAAATATCCATGAAGTAATGTTTGGATAATAAAACTAATCAAAGCTGGAAGCAAAGATGAAAGGATGATTGCACCCTGGTAATCACCCGGGCATACAGTGGTTAAGCTGTGCTGAACTCCTATTTCCCCCAGGTGGTGATGGAGAATACCATGTAACCATATGTCAAACTAAAGTATATTATGCAAGGAACCAGTTAAAATTTCATCTAGATTGGATTGTGATTTTAAGCTATTGTATATTTGCTGTCTCCACCAGGTCTGATGTTTACCAAGACTGCCTTTGAAGTGGATGAGGTCAAATTTACATCAAAATATAGAACATGGCATTTCCTGTTGCCACTATTGCCAACTATTGCTGACAATGGGCATATCAATCTATTCAGGGTGAGAACTCTCAGTGAAGGTAGTGAGAGGTAGACTAGATGCCTTTGAGTTATACAAATTTTGTGCTTCATAGTAAAACATCAAAAATGCTCATTCCACCAGTGTCACGCCCTAACGAAAACTCAGTTTTTCAATGTAACTTAAGTCCAACTCCTTAACGTTATGTTGGACAAATCTGAGTTTGCTGGGGTCAACCACGTTGCAATTGTACCCTTCCATCCATCCATCTTCATCCGCTTTATCCGAGGCCGGGTCGTGGGGGCAGCAGCCTAAGCAAAGAGGCCCAGACCTCCCTCTCCCCAGCCCCCTCCTCCAGCTTATCGGGGGGAACACCAAGGCGTTCCCAGGCCAGCCGATGCAATTGTACCCCCAAAGTGTAAAACATGTCATGAATGATAGCAAATTAAAATTTCATGACAAATGACTGAATTTTGCAGTAGCACCACGGACATGGCTTTTTTTGGAGAATCAAAAGCTCCACAATTTAATGTGGCCCAGGTCTGTAGTTGAGACTGATCAAATATGAAGTTGATTGGATAAAATCCCAAGGATTTTAATGCCTGGTGGACTTTCTCTTGGGTTTGGGTAATTGGGCCAATAGACTTTTTTGTTTGTTGTGGCATGGTACACGTGTACCAAATTTCATTCATTTAACTTAAACTATCTGTCTAATGCCCATGTACGAAACCAATAAAATGTGTACATTTTCACAAGATTGGACACTCATGCAAAGTTCTATGAGTTTTTGAGCATGTTAGGAATCCCAAAAAACTGATTAAAGACATAAAATAATAAATGGAATAGGGCCCTCAGTTCACACTCTAGAACTCAGGCTTTAATGCAGTGGAAAAGGATTACTTTTCCTGTTGATGGCAGTGAGAATCACCGGCTCAGTCTTCACCTATTTTAAGCTTTCTTTACAGTTTGGTTGGTGAGGATATCCTCACCAATCAATTACCATTACCTCTCTGCAGGAGAGCATTGTTCTTCATTGAAATTAACACCAATTAAATTCTTTGAGTCGTTGCTCTTTAAGGACACACAGCTGTGTTCAGGTCCAGGTTGGTTCCTGTGAATGATGATGGAGCAGGGACGTGAGTGCAAAGCTCTGACATGGAGAAGAGTCATCGAGAATTAAAGATGGTCATCTCACCTCTGAGCTTTGGTCTGGCTCTCTCTGGCTCTTTTAGGGGGAGGGACTCCCTCCTCTCTGTCCTCACACTGATCCATGCTGCTGAACTCACATCCACATCAGCTCACACACACTTTCTTCTTTCACCTGCAGAGGAAACACAAATCATTCATGTGCACATCAACTGAAATCCTCCTTTCCATCATGTGTGCTGTCCAAATATCAGCTGCTTCTTTCCTGCTTCATCTCAGTCTTAGCTGAATGCAGTCAGACAGCAGTGTGAGGCAGAGGAAGCTGCTCTACTTCTACTGTCAGTTACATGATGGATTCACTGATTCACTGACTGGAAGCTTCAGCCCATTAATATTCAGTCATTTCAACACGTTTAAAAAATTTTTTCAAACATTTCAATGAAAAGCATCACAATAATTATTGTTGTTTAGTTTTCAGAGAAGTGTACACACACACATTGATTTACTGTTAATATGAAGCATCTTCTTCTGTTTTGTCTTTGTAAATTTCAGGATTAACATGGTGTGGTGGGGCGTGGTCTGCGGTGCATCCGCAATCATGCCCGCCGTGTTCAAACACGGGGACTCAGGGGTTGGTGTGGGGTTGTGGTGGTATGATGCAAATGTTAAATAAAGATGGCTCAAAACATGAATCCGTGGTCCTGTCGTGCCTTAATTCCACCACACATGGAATGCAACCAGAGCTGCTGTGAAACATTAATTTTAACATCACTTATTCAAACAATTATCATCTTGCATTTTCTAGAAAACATCAGTTAGATCTTCCAGTGTCAATGCAAATCAGTCTGAAAAGTTTCCGTTTAATTTCATGAACAATAAAGAAATACATGAAATGGGAAATATTTGCCTAAAAATATAAATGAGAATCAGTAATCTAAATAGTTAGAATTCATTTATTTTCAGTCAGTTAGCTAATCATCTGATCACTGAAGCTTCATAATGAATCATCTATAATTCCTTTGAACTTGCAAAGCTGAGAGGCGACTTGCTCTGTTTTTTTGGTTGTTTGCACAAGCAGACTGTGGATGAAACACCTAATCTTTAACGAGACACTGATGGTGCTCAACAAGGTACCACTAGCACTGCTTTCACTGCTATGATCCCATAGCAGTGAAAGCAGTGATTGTAGCAGTTCAGATTGCTCTTACTTGGCTCACATGTGTGATGTAGGGAGTTAGAACATGATGTAAAGAAATTTTTCATAACCCCCATAGCATTAGCAAAGAAAACTTTGACAATGAAGGGGAGATGTCAACTCCAGCAATATCCACCTCAATATAAGTGGCAAGTTGAAAGAGAAACCCCTTGATTGACCAAATGTGCTAATTATTTAATCAGTTGTTTTGCTAATACACCACCTTCATATTTTAATCCCTCCTCAGATATTGACCCTTAACCATATCACACAGTGCTCAAGCCTTTTAATGCTCCTGTGATTTATTTGGTAACAGTGTTTTGATTAATACAGACGACAGCAAATAACACTGAAAGACGAAATTACATGTTCCTCTGCTGCGGTCCACCTTGTCCTCCCTCCAGGAAGAAATGCCACGGAAGGTGAAGGAAACGGGGCGGTGCATTGGTAAAAACTGCATGGCTACATCCCCAAAGACTAATCCCCATGCTCTCCTGAACCCTAACTTCTGCAATCTGGTAGAAGGTTCAGCATCATCCGGGCAAGGACAGAGAGACTCAAGAGGAGCTTCTATCCCCAAGCCATCCGTGCCCTAAACACACACACCC